ACAGAGCAGTAGACGGTGCAAAATGGCAGGATCAAGGAAAGAATGCTTGAAGAAGCAGCGGTAGGAGGGTGGCCGAATGCTCAGTCGACGAGGAGGGTCTTGAGACGTGTTTTGAAGGAGGCGAGGGAGGGAGCGAGGCGAAGGGACTGTGGGATGGAGTTCCAAAGGGTGGGGGCTGCAGCTAAAATAGTCAATAAAATAGAGGCAAAGAAAAGGTTGCGATGAAAGCGAGAGAATGAGTAGAAGACAGAGGTGGTGGAAAAAAGACCCATCAGATCGAGATCCTGCCCAGTGAGTGCGAGTGGTGTTAGAAAGTATAATTAGATTTGATCACTTTTTTAAAAAAAAATAAAGAGTATCGCAAGCTGTTTCATAAACTTTATTTTATAAAAGTAACAAAACATTTGACGCAAACCAGATACAAAATATTCGAGATCAGCCTCCTGCAAGTTGCATTTCAACGAAAGGACCCAACAATCTAGTCGCAAAAGGTACTTCAACACTTGTGTACTTACTCACTTGCCACCATCCTCTGCTCAAACCATACAGGTATATATATATATACGCACAACACGCAGACAACGCAGCTTGTACAGAAACGATGTTTCAGCCCTCGTTGGCTCAGCAACAGTCAATAGTGATACTCGCTTGTGCAAGAATGAGGAGCGACTCTGTGCCTCACTCTCAAGACTCCCGTCAAGAACAAATGGACTTACTAGGAACGAGTGAGTAATAGTGTTTCAGATTTGTCAAACTGCAACCCATTGTCCTGTACAAGTGTACAATGTGGTACGGCAGCTCATATAGAAATAGGGTCACAAGCTGCAAATATATATATATATATTACATATATATATATAAGCAAAAAGATGCATGTATTGTCCATTTGCTGCAATAAGTGGTTTCAAACTCTACTGAGTGTATATTTAGGCAGGAATCAAATCAGAATGCCATACAGTGGTGTAGACAATGCAGACACAAGGCCAGTGCTAACAGCAACACCATCCGCAGGTCTATGTCCTTTGCCCTGTTGTAAAGGGCTTTGGGTTTCCAGGCTAATTTGCGATATTTGAAAGCATCCTTGGTAAATGGGGTTCTCAAATTGAAAAATGTGTTTCGTTACAGTAGCAGCCTATCACTATTGCAGAATACATTCAATACACAGCAGTAAAGACCGTTCAATGAAGCCCTCGCTCTTTACCCAGCACAATAGTGTCACTCCTCGTCCAGCAGTATGTAGGAGGTTGACCTGTTAGGGTAATATGTAAGTTATCGACAGTGAATGGAAGATATGTCCAACCGCGATGTCCCCAAACGGGCTCAGCTTTTTCTTTAACAAAGCATTCGTAACCAACACACGGTGTCCAGTAGCACTTACATAACACCCTAAAGATTAACTTATAACCGGTCGTGGCTTCTCTTGTTTTGCTACTTTTAGCTAGAATTGGTCACTTTGTACAACATTAAATAAGGGTTGGCTAAAACTGCAGTCATTTCGTTCCAGTCATTAGTGTACATCGGAAACTATAAACTTAAAAGTACTTTATCAAGCCAGTTCATCACCTGGCTTTTTTTTGCTCAACAATTCTGTGACTTGGGGCTGCCCAATGGCTCAGTGAAGAAAAAAATGTCCGTGCAAGGTGGCTCCGGACTAGAATACTAATAATAAAACTTGCAGTTGATGTAGCGCCTTATCACGTCTTTGAGACGTCTCAAAGCGCTTCACAGAATACACTGCAAAGTGAATTGACTGTGTATTTTGTGGGCGAAACGCCAAGGGAGGAGATCACGCTTAAGCTAACACATCCTCCCTGGTCTGTAATAGCTTAGCCAATTTCAGCCTTAGGCAATCACTGGGCTACGGAGGTCAAATTTGACCCAGGGTTGAGGTTTCCGTGACTCCCTACTGGATATCGTGCACCCGTGAGTGAGCACCAGGTGAGCGGCTGGGTTTGGCTTACAGTGTAGCCCTGTGGAGTCATATAATAATCCTTGCATCTTGCGCCTTATCACGGCGATGAGACGACTCAAAGCGCTTCACAGAACATACCGTGAAGGGGATTGAACTTATATTTTGTGGGACACAAGCAGTCGTGGATTGAGTGAACCAATTTATATGTAAAAAAAAGTTTGAGAGGGATTATTGCCCCATGAAAGCGATCTGCCAATCGACTAACAACTGCCTACTTACTGCTAGGCAAGAAACTTGCCTAAGGTTTTGCCCCGCCCGGGAATCGAACCCGGGTCCTCTCGCTTGCGAGGCGAGTGCTCTAACCACTTTGTCGAGGCTTTCTTCCGCATGTACCCCCGCTTTGATGAGGTTCCGGAGACCCCCCACTGTCACCAAAAGAGCTGTACTTCAGCGTGAGCCAACGGAGGGGAGGGAGAAGTGGTTTTATTTTTTGGGCGGGCGATTCCTGGCAAGCTCCTTGAGGCCTGCTTTGAAAAGCACACGTCAGTCATCTTAGAAACAGAAGGTACTAACACGAGAACAGGTAAATTCCGCATAGTTTAAGTGAATTGAACATTTCTAATTTTTTTTTTAAAAAAGTTAAACAGACTAACAGTGGTAATAGATGGTGCTGTTAATATCTTAAGCAGCCCACCCACCCCCCCAAACCCCACCCTCGCCAATGCTGCCATTATTTTTTGTATGGCTTTTAGTAACGGTTTAAGCTCTTTCTGTCTCATGGAAGCACCAAATAATTAAGGCTTCCAGACAAACTAAGTCCTGAGCCTGAGAGATCAGTGCAATTGTTACGAGCTAAGGCAATGCAGACAATTAAAACGGCTGCACATTGACCTTTTTAAACATCACACGGTTCTAATTTATACCAAAAGTGTTGGGAGAATTTACGATTATTCTCCCTCCAATACACACCCGCGCGCACACACACTTGTGGTATAAATAATCTAGAAGCATTTGATACAATTTCTCTCTCCCCCTCCCCGTGAGAAAGATGATCACAAGAATTATGTGGTCGGTCTCTCATATGCTGCGAATAAAATTAATATCAAATACTTCCAACACTCTGCATAAAACATCCTGCATAGATAATGAACTGACAAACATGCCGCTAACGAACATACTCCAACATACAATTAAACCAATTCAGAAAACTCTTTGGTCTACAGAAAGGTGATAGTTTGTTTAAACAACTAGGGTAAGGTTAATTGGGATTTGCCGATTCAAGGCTTATTTCTCCCCCAACTTACCACAAACGCCAAAGTTTCTTTACTCCAGGCAGCACTCTCAATCCACAACGAACACAAATAAAACACACTGTATATCTTCATGTTTCGCAGAGGGCATCTATTTCTTAATCCCACTTCACTTGCTGCGGGTAAAACTGATAGCAATCTGCCCAGGAACTCATCCATTCAATCAGCTGGACGATCTCCCTCCCATTGGGAGCCATGGCCGTTCGGCAAAGTTCAGGAAGCCAAGCAGTAAAACTTCCATGTAAAAGGCGTCCTGGATAAACGATTGTGTAAGATTGCAACGGTCATGTCTCGTGCTCTTCCGTTAGAGGAGTCGATCGATGTTCATCGTCAGGGCAACAAAAGACCGATGCTGTTCTCGACTGCCTGTTGTTCCTGGGAATACTTTCTGCGAGTCACGAGATGCAATGTGGAAAAAGTATTCCATTCTCTGGCAGCACCGTCTGCTCCGGTCTGGAATCTGTCACCAGCAGCAGCACTACAGGTATCAATGTCACTGAGGGATCGGGGATACTCTGAATGGATGGAGCTGGTTCTAAATAGCTTCCTTCCCAATTCCTCTTGCAACGTGATGGTATATTCTGCTACCACGCAGTTCCTTACAGTTTGGCCAAGCTGAGGGCTGGGGGAGAGGGAACCAGGATTATCTGTCGAGCAGTAGATTTGGAATTGAAATCCAGGGTTTGTAGCCATGAATAGCACTGTTAGCACGCACTCCTGGCCACCAATAGAGTTGCTTTCTGGAAGGACAAGTTTGTGCCCTGGGGGGCATTATCATACCTTAACTCATCTCATTTAGAATCACTTGGCCTTTTCTCTTGAATCGAACCCAGGTCCTCTCGCTTGTGAGGCGAGTGCTCTAGCCACTGAGCCACTACAGGACTCCATAGTGATTAAGTCATTTGGAGGGGGAGAGATGGGGTTATGAGGTGCAGAGGGGAAAAGAGAAACCAATGGAGAACAAAATTCTCAAGGTTACTGTTTAGAAGTTTACAAGCTTATTGTTTATCGATGTTCATTGTCAGGGCAACAAAAGGTCAGCACTGTTCTCGACAACCTGTTGTTTCCCGGGAATGCTTTCCGCAACTCATGAGATGCACAGTGGAAAAAGTGGTGGGTGGGGGTCAGTGGGGGGGGGGGGGGGGGGGGGGAGTGGAGGAGGAACTGAGGGGTGTGTTGCTTTGCTTTTAAATGCCCTAAAAGGTAATTGATCCTGTAAACGTACATTGAGGATCAGCAGCTCTACATTCAGTCACACCAGAGGGCAAAAAGCCCCCAAAATCCTGCAGATTTTTTTCAGTGCATTTGTGTTACTGGCAGGGGCAAGCCAGAGCTCAGGTTAGGGTTCAGCTGGAGACTGCTGCAAAAGTCAGTGAAACCGACAGTTTGACCCCACTCGTTGCCATTCTATCAGGATAGCGATGTCAGGGAGAAACAAAGACAGCAGCAGAAAGAGAGAGAGACAGAGACAGAGACAGAGAAAGAGACAGAGAAAAAAGGGAACTATTTTACAAAACTCCTCCACAGCCTGATCTCAATCGAATTCACAGTGTCTTGCATGTCAGGTTTAGTCACTTTTAGTACTTGGCTTCGCCTGATGGCAATAATGGTCCGAAGTGTCCCAGGGCCCCACATGGTCTGACATACACCTCGTTTGTTATTGCTGAGTTTGACACTCTAGTCCGTGGCCTAGGAACACAGTTCACTAAAGGGCATAATAATCCTTGCGTTTGATAAAGCGCCTTATCACGTCGCGGCATCTCAAAGCGCTTCACAGGATATACTGTAAAGTGAACTGACTATAATTTGTGGGCGAAACATGGCAGCCATATGTAGCCGCTCAACCCAAATGACAGTATCTAGGTTTCCTGCATAAGAATTCAGGGTAATCGCTGAACAGGTGGCCATAGAGCTTGAGCCAATGTAGCCAACAACAACACCTGAATCCAAAGACACGGACACAGATGGATTCCACTGAGTTAAACACAGTACCAGCTCAGCTTGGGGTGTGGGGAGGTGGGGAGGGCGGGGGAGACGAGAACTCAGCCAAGCTATTGAGCCATTAGTCTGCCAGTAAAAACAGTGTTGAAACAATATCCATATTACGAGGATGTACTACTTAAAATATTCACTTCTTTTCTTAGAGGTCGAATAATCGACTTAATTCAAATCAAACGGTTTACGCCATCTGCCTCGGTACATCACCGTTCACGGCGAGATTTCCCCGAGTTTTTTCTACAAGATGTTGAAATGAAGGATGTATTCCAGCAGTTTCTGACGGTTGATCAGAGGTAGAAAGGTGTTGCTTAGTTCCAAAACTGCTTTGTTGTTCCTCTGCACTTCCTTAAAAACCTAGGGCAGATAGAATGATTGACATGTTCATCAAATACTTAACTAATAATAATAATCCTTGCATTTGATAAAGCGCCTTCTCACGTCTCAAAGCGCTTCACAGAATACATTGTAATGTGGATAAATTGTGGGCGATATAATAATAATACAAGTATTTGATACAGCCAGTCTCACTTCGGATGGGGAAACATCTCAAAGGGCTTGGCATTTTTGCACTGGACTTTTGAGCTGACATTTTTAATGTAGCTCCAATCTTCAAACAACTGTTAAATACTTAAAATCTTTTCCTTAAACGTCTCCTTTCCCATGAAGGAATGTCTAAAAGAGCTTGACAAACATAGTGAGCAATGATCATCACTCTCCCGAGCTATTGGGAGCCAGTGGATGTGTAGGAGAGAATGTGGAGTTCAGCTCTGGATAAGTTAGAAGTTAAGGAAAAATCTTCTTTGGGGCCACATGCAATGGACTGCTCTTCACATGGGGCAGTGTCTCGGAGTGAGTTTCAATCAGCATTATGCATGACATCAGTTAAATGCCTCAAATAAAAGATTCAAAGAAAATTAATACAAACCCCAAGATCTTTAAGAGTCTTCATTGCGCTTTTTGCAAGGCAGAAGGTTGCACTCTCACCTGTCACAGAGACAAAGAAAAAAAGTTACTCATATCCAGATTAATAGAAAACAAAACGTGTATGTGTGTGTGGGTGCCTTCGTATGGGAGAGGGGAGCAGGGATGATATTCTGGAAGGACGAGATCAAATGGGCTCAGAGTTCCTTGCTCACCAAACCTCTCTTGTGAAAGACATTGAACAGCTAAAAATAACAAAATTGTTTTCCAGGCAGCATGAACCGAAACACATCAGTGCTAAGAAAGGGCAAGATTTGAAAGATGTTAGTAATAATAATAATAATCCTACATCAAACATTTAGCCAATTGCACACAGAAGTATCCCACAAACCGTCGTGGATTGAGTGACCAAAGTATTATTTATTTTTTTGAAGGGAATATTAGCCCCAGAAACGCGATCCTCCAATTGACTAACAAACGGATTCCGACTTACTCCTTGGTAAACAGAGGTAAGAAACCCAGGACCTCTCGCTTGCGAGGCGAGTGCTCTAACCGCTGACCTACAGGACTGGACAATTAACATAAACCAAAACTCGACTTTGTTTGTTGGGGACTCACCGAACACCGCAATTTTCTTTTCTGTTCTTGACAACAGATACTTGTGAAATGTGTTCACGTATTCCGTCTCTGTGACAAAAAAAACATTGTAAGCAATCAGAAAAAGGAGTTTAGAGCGCTAGAATTCTGAGAATGACAACTTCTGAAATTGGGCTCCTCATTGTCTGAATACATTTGTAAATTCTACTTACAGATAGAGCGACTGTCATTCAAAGAAAAGAAAGATATCATCAGGGGGCACTCTTCATGAATTATTTTAAACAATTCCTAGGACTATATGATAATGACTTGAAATGTGCCCGGTCAATTCACTTTACAGTAACATTTGAAAAATTTGAAGCAGGAGGGAGTGGATCCAATAGTTATGATTCACATAGGGACCAATGATGTAGGTAGGGACGAGTTGAGGAGCACGTTCCGGGAATTGGGAGTTAAGCTAAAGAGTAGAACTTCGAAGGTATTAATCTCGGGATTATTACCTGAGCCAGGGGCAAATTGGTACAGGCAAAAAAAATTAAAGAACTGAATACCTGGCTAGAAGAATGGTGCGGAGGGCAGGGGTTTCACTTTATAGGCCACTGGCACCAGTATTGGGGGAGTCAGGAGCTATTCCAAAGGAATGGACTCCACCTAAACAGGGCTGGGACAAATGTCCTGGCAACACGAATAAATAGGGAGGTAGACAGGGCTTTAAACTACTAAGTGGGGGGGGGGGTAAATTCAATCACATGTAATCCGTCACAATTAAAATTGGGACCGATGAAAGTGGGAGAGCAGATTAACCAGGGAGATGAGCAAAGTGTGTCAAGCGGGGAAAGGAAGCCCAGGGATAGGGTACCGGTGAATAGGACTAATAGCCCGAAGTCAGAATTAAAGGTGCTATATCTGAATGCGTGAAGCATTCAAAACAAGATAGATGAGTTAAATGCACAAATAGAAACAAACGGGTATGATCTAGTAGCCATCACCGAGACATGGTTACAGGGAGATCAAGGGTGGGAGCTAAATATTCCAGGGTACATGGTGTATAGGAAAGGTAGGCAATGTGGTAAATGAGGAGGGAGGGTGGCCCTGCTAATAAAGGATGGGATAAAAACAGTAGAGAGGAAAGATTTTAAATCAGAAAAGCAGGAAGTAGAGTCAGTATGGGTAGAGGTACGTAACAACAAGGGGCAGAAAACTCTAGTGGGAGTAGTTTATAGACCCCCGAACAGCAGTCACAGTATCTCTCAAGGTATAAATCAGGAAATTAGCAGAGCATGTAGCAGAGGAAAAACATTAATTGTGGGTGATTTTAATCTGCACATAGATTGGGACAACCAAATTGGGAAAAATATGATAGAGGAAGAGTTTATAGAATGTATTAGGGATAATTATCTAGATCAGTATGCCGAGGAGCCAACCAGGGAACAGGCCATATTAGACCTTGTTTTGTGCAATGAAGCAGGGCTGATCAGCAAACTGGAAATTAAGGCTCCTCTAGGGCAAAGTGATCATAATATGATGGAATTTAGCATTAAGTTAGAGAGAGAAGTAGTTAAGTCCGAAGCAAAGGTTTTAAATTTAAGTAGAGCCAATTTTGCTGGTATGAGAGAGGATTTAGCCAAAATAAACTGGGAAATTAGACTTAAGGATTTGACAGTAGACCAGCAATGGCAGACGTTTAAGGAGATAGTGCAAAATTCCCAGCGAGCACGTATTCCTTTGAGGAATAAGAATGCCACGGGAAAGGTGGCCCAACCGTGGCTAACTAGAGCAGTTAGGGAAAGTATAAAGTTAAAGGAAGAAGCCTATAAAACAGCTAAGATGAGTAGTAAACCCGAGGATTGGGAGAACTTTAGGGATCAACAAAGGAGAACCAAAAATGTGATGAATAGGAAGAAAATGGAATATGAGGGCAAACTAGCGAAGAACATAAAGACAGACTGCAAGAGTTTTTATAAATATAAAGAGGAAGAGGCTGTCAAAGGTAAATGTGGTTCCGCTACAGGCAGAGACGGGGAGAATTATAGTAAGGGACAAAGACATGGCAGAGTCATTAAACAAGTACTTTGCTACTGTCTTCACCTTAGAAGACACTAAAAACCTACCAAGAATAGAGGGGAACCAAGAAGAAAATGTTAGCGAGCAACTTGGGGAATTAATATTAGTAAAGAAATGGTTTTAGGTAAATTATCAGGTCTTAAAACTGATAAATCTCCTGGACCTGATGGCCTACATCCTAGGGTTTTAAAAGAGGTGGTTACTGAGATAGTGGATGGCTTGTCTTTGATCTTCCAAAATTCTCTGGATTCTGGAACGGTTCCCATTGATTGGAAGATTGCAAACGTAACACCACTATTTAAGAAGGTTGGGAGAGAAAAGATGGGGAACTATAGACCAGTTAGTCTGACATCAGTGGTAGGGAAAATTCTTGAGTCCTTAATTAAAGATGTCATTATGGGATTCCTGGAAGACCATAACAAGATCAGACAGAGTCAACATGGCTTTACAAAAGGGAAGTTATGCTTAACTAATCTTTTAGAGTTTTTTGAAGATGTATCTAGCAGGGTAGACAGGGGGGAACCAGTAGATGTAGTATATTTAGATTTTATAAAGACATTTGACAAAGTGCCACACAAAAGGCTATTGTACAAGGTTAAGGCCCACAGGATTAATGGGAACATATTAGCATGGATTGAAGAGTGGCTAACGGGTAGAAAACAGAGAGTAGGGATAAACGGGTCATTCTCGAATTGGCAGGATGTGACTAGTGGAGTGCCACAAGGATCAGTGCTTGGGCCTCAGCTATTTACAATTTACATCAATGATCTAGACGAGGACATTGAATGTAACGTATCTAAATTCGCGGATGACACTAAAGTAGGTGGGAGGGTAAGCTCTGAGGATGATGCAAAAAGATTGCAAAGGGATAGATAGGCTCGGGGAGGGGGCGAATAGGTGGCAGATGGAATTTAATGTGGGGAAGTGTGAAGTTATTCACCTAGGTAGCAAAAATAAAAAAACAGACTATTTTCTAGAGGGGAAGAGATTAGATAGTGTTAGTGTTCAGAGGGATTTGGGTGTCCTTGTACACCAGTCTCAAAAAGTTAGTTTGCAGGTGCAGCAGCAACTAAGAAGGCGAAGGGCATGTTAGCGTTCATTGAAAAAGGTTTAGAGAACAAGAGTAGGGAAGTCTTGCTGCAACTGTATAGGGTCTTGGTGAGACCGCACCTAGAGTATTGTGTGCAGTTTTGGTCTCCTTATTTAAAAAAGGACATACTTGCCTTAGAGGGGGTGCAGCGTAGATTCACAAGGTTAGTTCCTGGGATGAGGGGACTGACCTATGAGGAAGGCTGAATAAACTAGGGCTGTATTCTCTAGAGTACAGAAGAATTAGGGGAGATGTTATTGAAACATATAAGATTCTTAAAGGGCTGATAAAGTAGACACTGAGGGTCTGTTTCCCCTGGTAGGAGAATCTATAACCAGGGGTCACAGTCTTAAAATTAAGATTAAAATTAAAATCTTAAAATTAAAATTAAGGGTCAGCCTTTTAGTTGAGGAGACATTTCTTCACCCAGAAGGCTGTAGATGCTCAGTCCTTGAACATCTTCAAGGCTGAGACTGATAGATTTTTAAAAACAGAGGGATTAGGGAATATGGGGATAGGGCAGGTAATTAGAGTTAGGTCAGAAGATCATCCATGATCTTATCGAATGGCGTGGCACAGGCTCGAGGGGCCAAATGGCCTACTCCTGCTCCTAATTCTTATGTTCTTATTCTGTGAAGCGCTTTGAGATGGCTCAACGACATGATAATAATAATCCTTGCATTTCATCTAGCTAGCGCCTTAAGCGCTTCACAGAATATACTGTAAAGTGTAGTGACTGCGTGTTTTATAAAGAAAACGCAGCAACTAATTGCGCACTGCAGTGTCCCACAAACAGTCGTGGATTTTTTTTGGAGGGATTATTACCCCCCAGAAAGCGGTCTGCCAATCGACTAGCAACCGGGTTCCTACTTACTGCTGGGTAAATAGAGGCGTGTGGAGTAAGGAAACTTGCCCAACCAAGCAGGTATAAAAATAGAGACTTCAATCACGAATAGTGAGATGTCAGTAATATTGTGAGTGAAACCTACCTTCAACTGGAGCGCTGAAGCTATGAACGAAAACAGCAGCTGAAAAGTAAGCCTCCAACAAAGGACCCAACAGCCTGTGCAGGAAGACGATGAACTCCTTGTGTTCCTGGGACTGACTCACCTGAAAGAGGGAAGATTTATAAAGATTCATGATTACTTCTAATTAATGGATTACTTCTAATTAGCTTTCATTTCTTCGCACCTAATTGTGCGTGGAGAGATTCCTAATGAAGAATTTGCAAACACCGACTGCTTCCGACTCCAGTTCCTTGGGGAACTGTGTATTTGTGAGCGAATGTGGCAGCCATTTTGTGCACAGTAATGTCCCGCAAACAACCATCCTTTACCATCTATCTGAAGCAGGCTTCTCACGCGTAACTCGTTACCAAAAGTGGTTGCTAACCCAACACCAAATGGCCACATGTTAAAGGCCCCCACCACACCCCACTGTTATTCGCCTTGCTAACGAAATGTTAAATCCATCACAAAATACATTTTCCTATAGAAAAAAGGAAACCGTGAAAACTAGGCAGTTTGGGCCTCAGTACTAAACCACACTGTTTACACCTTAGTGTGGTGGTCTCTCTACCTTTAGGTAACGGTCTCGTTGCTCTTCCCCATAGTCGCTGTCATCTTCTTCGTCACTTCTCCAGGACAAACCATCTGGGTACTTGCTAGCCCAAGTCTCCTCCGTAGGACTGGGGCTCAGATCCTCCTGTTCGTTGAGGACACAAAGCAAACCCAGTTACCATTTGACCACCCCTTCCCCACCCCACCCGGCCTGCTGTCCGCACTGTGCCACTTGTGAATAATGATTGTTAAACATCAGCAGATAGAAATGCAAAGAAGTAAGCGATCCATTTTCTGGGTTCCGTGCCTTATTGCATTAATGAAACTCACGCAGAACCAATAGTGAAGAAAGTAGAGACTACTAAACACACAGAGAAGGTCACGGTTCTTTCAGACTATGCCAACAGTAACTGTTAACAAAGGGAGGAAACTACCACTTATTATAATAATAATCCTTGCATTTGATATGTTGCCGTCCAGGAGGGCTTTACTGTGCAGTGGAGTGACTATGTATTTGTAGGCAAATACAGCAGCCAATTTGTGCACAGCAATGTCCCACAACAGGTAGGAAGTGATTTTATTTGAGGGTTTGTTGGCCAGGACACTGACAAAAAGTCCCCTCTCTTTTTGAATAGTGCCATGGAATTTTTAACGTCTTAAAACACGTTACAGGTGCTGTCTGCCTGGTCAGGTGAACTTTCCATCTGAACAGGCAGACAGGACCTCGGTTTAGCCTCCAACAATGGAGTATCAGCTTAGAGTATATGAGTTCAAGTCCCGATGTGGGGCTTGAACCCACAACCTTCTGACTCAAAGGTGAGAGCGCTACCCATTGAGTCAGATTGTTTGCTTACCTCAGCCACCATTAGAATCCCATACTGGATGAACTTTCCCACAGCATCATGTAAAGCCTGGTGCACCGCTTGACAGGGCTGCAAATCAAACGCACAGAATAATATAGAATAAAATAATAATAGAATTGGACAAGTTCTACTCCATAGATTTTCCCCCCAAAAAGGACGAATATAAGGAGCAAAAAAAGAGTAAATAAGAGAGGTGCTTCCATACAGACCTGTCCGCTCCCTCCGCTCAGCGAGATCTGGGCTGCTCCAGGTACCGCGCTCGGCCCGCCCCACCATCTAGCCTTCAGCCTCTCTGCCCCCACCCTTTGGAACTCCATCCCACATCCCTTCACCTCGCTCCATCCCTCGACTCTTTCAAGACCCGTCTCAAGATCCTCCTCTTCGTCCGTGCCTTCAATCACCCTCCAACTCCCCTCCCCCACCCGATCCCAACTTCCAGCTCGGGTCCAAATCCCTGACTGGCCAGACTGACCCGAAAGATGCCGTGTCGATGTCCTGCATTGGCGTCACGCACCTCAAATGTAAAGATTAATTTCCACTCACCAACGCCACGGTCACGTCGTTGGACAGGAGGTGGGACAGACTGGCGGCCGTGCGGATGAGCCGTTCCTGGGAGACAGTTCCTTCGGATGCCACGTGAGCCGGATCCGTGGCCGAGTGTTTCAGAGCGGCGCAGAGGGAACAAGCTGCAACGCAGTGAAGAGGAGAATTGAGTCCAGGAAAAAAAACGTGAAAGCTCTGGGTTACAATAAAGAACTGTCAAGTGTGCACAGTCCAACCAAACAGCTGCTTTTGTATTGCCTGCCATCTACTGGCAGCACTCCAGGGTTTATCCAGCCTTGCAGAACGGATGGAGCGCATTATTCCTCTTGATGAAAGTCCTAGAGGTTTTTGTACTTCATTCTTAATTCTTTTGTCAATTCGGCATTTTTACAGAATCGTTTCACTTGTGACCAGCACAGAAATAAGCTTATAAAAGCCGGGCTCAGCTGAAAGACTGGTCCCAATAGTGAAATGAATTTCTGCTATCATTATTATTTCCCTTCCAACTACGTGCCAAAGTTGTTAATCGACATTTAACAGTCACATTCAGCAAAGCGGTTTCTTAAAAAAAAGTTTCCATTTGATTAATTAATTCATTCACATAATTTGTGCTGATCTTAAACATGCAGCACTCACACCGTTTACATTTAGGAGTTTAAATGCCTCGACTCAGAACATTGAGAGAATAATAGTATTCCTTACATTTGATAAATCGCCTTATCGTGTCTTTGAGATGTCTCAAACTGCTTCACAGAATATACTGTAAAGTGAATTGACTGTATAGTTTGTGGGCAAAACACGGCAGCCAATTGCGTACAGCAGTGCCTCACAAACAGTCGTGGATTGAGTGACCAAATTATTATCATTATATTGTTTGGAGGGATTATTAACCCTGGCAAAGCGATCCACCAATCAACTAACAACCAGGTTCCTAATTAAAGGGAGGCGTGTGGAGGAAGGAAACTTGCCTAAGGTTTTGCCCCACCCAGGAATCAAACCTGTGTCCTCTCACTTGCGAGGCGAGTGCTCTAACCACTAAACTGCAGGACGATTTGAGATAGCTGTCAAATCGTCAAAGCTTCGACTTGTACCTGCAGTGGTATCTGGCGGAGGCTGCCATAGTTTCCAGTGCAAGGCTAAGATCATCGCTTCTCTTTTGTTTAAAAAAAAGGTTCTGACCGACTGATATTTTCACTGGTTTGCTGTGCATAAATATAAACATAATAATAATAAAATATAATGCTAAATTGTGACACATATTACTGTAGAGGTCAGTATACATCCAAAACTCTGGCTTGCAGTTGCAGTTATAGATGATGAGCACTAATATTTCCCAGACCCAAAAGATGGTCAAGTTTCTTTTGCCCTTATACTGTAAAAACCTTTCTAACTTTCAAACAGCATTAACATTGAAATTCTAGTATCCCGGGTGCAGCAATTTAAATACTATGTGCAAGTTTAAAAATAAAAATAAAACACTCAGCACATTCTCTGCTGGGGCCTATGCAGTCTTCATTCCATTCCATCGTTTTAATCTGTCTAGTTTTGCACCTGAAATATTTTCATCAGTTGTGAATGTTCTGTACTACAATTGCATTTATGAGGCGACCTTCATGTAGGATAACATCTCGGAGTGCTTTATGAAGAGAGGATGTCAGGAGATGGGGGAACGATGTTTTAATGCATAAAGGCTGAGCAAGGGAGATGGGGGAACGGCAAGGTGACTATAGCCACAGTCCAAGAGGTAAGTTTTAAGAGGGGACTAAATACCACAGCTAAAACATATTCCAATAGCTATTCGTCACAATGACATAGTAGTATTTTGCTCTTCACAGGATGGCTCAGTTGATAGCACTCTCATCTCTTGAGACTTGGTGCCATAGAGTTATACTAAAAAAAACAAATACACAACCATGTTCTTACAGAATATGTTACTATCGTGACTGAGAATTTAAGATGAGGCAATCAAATCACACAACAACAATAATAGCCCTTGCTTCATTGAAATGTCTCAAAGCGCTTCACGGAATATACCGTAAACGGATTGACTGTGTATCTTGCGGGCAAAACGCACGCACAAAATACAGTCAAAATAAAGCAGCCGGTTCCTCCCTCTCCTGGTATCCCACGGCACGGCACACGGTAAGACTGTGTTTTGGGACGGGGCTGGCCAGTGCCGCTTACCGAGTACGGCCTCAGCGAGGAAGACTTGCAGGATGCCGTTGCTGTAGTAATTCAGCTCGAACAAGGCAGGGATGGTGGTGGCCGGGGCGATGAAGAACTCGCTGTTGCGGCGGGAGCTTCTGACGTTGACGCAGTCGCCCAGTAAATGCAGAGCGTGCATCACCACGTCCTCCGAATTCCCGGAGAATCCCAGGTCAAAGTCATGAGCCAGCACCACCTCCTTCATGCAGAAGAAATCCTCCACCAACTTGGACAAGTTCACACCCTGCGGATAAATTAAAAGGGGCTGCTCTGTCAGCTGCAGGGGATATCGAACGGTATGAAAATACATTATTTGATATATTATTAAATATATTAAAATAAAATAATAATCCTGGCATCTGGATATCGCGCCATATCACATTGTTGAGACGTCCCAAATCGCGTCAGAGTACGTATTGTAAAGTGAATTGACTGTATATGCCTGTGGACAAGACACGGCAACCAATTGCTCACAGCAGTGTCCCACAAACAGTCGTGGACTGAGTGACCATAAATGATATTAAAAATTTTGAACAATTATTACCCTGGAAAGCAATCTGCCAATTGACTAACAACCAAGTTCCTACTTACTGCTAGGTAAACGTGTCTATGTGTTTCGTTCAAACAACTGATTGAGTGAGGCAGCAGGTTTCTGTCTGCGGGCTGGAGTTTGCTGATTCCTACCTGTCTGTGTCGGTAAAGCAGCAAACACGCCACGATGTGAGTGGACATCACGGCCGAGCATTTACTGGCAGCTGGAATTAAAGTAAAGAGGGAAAGAGAGAACAGGTGAATCGATGCCGCAATTTGTAGAATACCTGCATCCAGCAATGAGACACAGGAACACAGTCAGACCTCCTGATCACACATTTCAACAGTGGACAGGAAGTGACTATTACCACATCAACCTGTCTGCTCCCTCAGCTCAGCAGGCTTCTGACTGCTCCATGTCGTCCACAAGCACCCCCCCCGCCACACAAGAAAGGCGCTATACAAATGTAATTTGTTGTTGTTATTCAGCTATGACTTGACAACCAGGAAACCATTTTTATTATACAAGGTTGGATTTTATGGACCCAAACTACCAAATTCTGAGGTCCGAATGCACTGGGAATGCCTAAATCTCTTAGATTTGTAAAATTTCCCTTCTAAAGTGAAACTAGATCAGTTGGGTGTGTGACACATGTGGAATCGCATCACCACGCTTTAAGAGCATCCAAACCAAACTGAATTCCACATGTTCATGGAAATTACTCTGGGTCTGCCACAGAGTCTCATGCCTCACCCAATCCTTCAGGTTGTCAACAGCCAGGGCTTAGAGCCTCAAGAGTTCAAGAGTGTGCTTCAACTGTACGCTTACTGAACAATGCATGAGCGGCGATGTTGGAAATCACTTGGCGTCTGTACTGTTCATCTGAACAGTCAATGGAGTTCATCATCATATCCACCTCAGGTTCACGAAGTTCAAAGCTTGGTCTATTAAGGCACAAAATAGAGGACATCACGGAGTTGGGGGAAGAAAGACAAAGAAGAGTTAGCTATTTGTTACAATAGATAGTCAGTACCCACACACATGAATAATGCTCTAACTCATATGCACCAATTGAAAAAAAAACATTATTTTATTGGAAACCTCGTCACTGATGGAAAATTAATATTTATGCACCCCATTTAAGTTTCCATTCGTTATTCAATTTCTTTGGTGAAATTGCTTTGTTCTAATTCTAATTCAACAGTTGCTGAATTCTTTGGTCTCCCCGGGCAATTGAGCAGGACTGCGTTATGTGAGATTGCAAGAGAGCTTCGGATGAAGGAGAATTTGTGAAAAACATTTAAGAAGTCTGTCATTTCAATTTATAAATGAATGAGATGCAAAGGTAGATCATGTTTTAATTAAGATACAGAGAGGCCCAGTAATAGAGGGCCTCTCTGTATCTTAATACAGATAGTCTCAATTCAACTGGTTAAATGAGTCTTACCCATCGGTGATTATAGTAGGAAGAAGGATTTCCTTCAGGGAGAGAGCAGCAGGCAAGGGACGGTTTCTCTGAACATCAATGTATTCCTGCAATATCAAACAGAACACTCGACATAACTTTGGATGAAACACAATCCTTTTTGCTTGCTACTGCACGATGGTGAAACAGCAACAGCCACCTGCACAGGATTAACTGCACTTTTTTGTTTTGCGGCATTATACTTGTGTTCATTCAAGTGCCTCAACTGTGTATTTTTTGTGGGCGAAACGCAGCAGACAATTGCGCACAGCAGTGCTCCCCAAACAGCAATATCCCACTAACTATAAGGGAGGAATTGAGTTTAATTTTTTTACACAGAGAATTGTTACGAGAATGCACTGCCTGAAAGGGTGGTGCAAAACGATTTAATAACAACCTTTCAAAAGGGAATTAGATAGATACTTGAAAAGGGAAAAATTTCAAGGCTAAGGAAAGAGCGGGGACGTGGGACTGATTGGGTCGCTCTTCCAAAGAGCCAGCACAGGCATCCTGGGCTGTATGGCCTCCTTCTGAGCTGTAATATTATATGATTCTATGAATTTCTCATCTGAAAGAACAACAAACAAACAATGGAGCACAAAGGTGGGGCTTGAACCCACAACCTTCTGACTCAGAAGTGAGAGTACGACCAACTTAGCTAGTCTGACACCAAATTATTACTGAATTCTTACAAGTTTTATTGACGTAGTCACTCCAGTGTTCTAGTTGCCAACAAATGTTTTCAACAGATCACCACTCTAAATAAAGAGTGGACAAGAAAGTTGAGTTCAAAAAATAAAACATATCTTTTTTTTAAATTGGGAGGAGTAGATTGCATTTTTTATGAGGAGTTCAGTTAAATGGCAACTGAAACACACGGCACTTTTTTCTTTCAAGCAAAACTTAATAAACTGAACAGGATTGAACACTGAATCCAGTTTACGAGATAAAACACGCAGCTGACAGTGACAATGTGAAGCATTCAGTGTTGGGGAGGGGCAAAGTGACATTCCCGTCAGGAATGTGCAACCCTCACCCCACAAGAGAATGCAGCACTCAAGAGGAATGTCAGCCAATGATCCCACTCATGCTCTGCCTTCCACCCGTTTATTCCCGAGCTCTTTCGCTTTGGGTTTTGACAGTGCTTTTATTCTTTCATGTCATGTAATTCCATTCCATCTTACACTGGGAGTCGGTCAAATGGGCTGTCCTTTCACTCATCAGATCTATCGTGCCATGGCCCAACTCGGAACAAAATGAAATTGCACAGGGCCCCCAAACAGAACGTTGGGAGTCTGTCTGTCTCCTTTTCAAATGAGGGCTTAAAGGGTTAAATTACAAGGACAGGTTGCATAAAGTTGGTCTCTATTCCCTAGAGTTTAGGCAGTTGAAGAGTGATCTGATTGAAGTTTATAAATAATAAAGGACTTGAAATGGCCTAATCTTGTTTCTGTGTTTCTATGTTCTGCCCTCACCTCCACAATCCTCTTCGCCCTCAAAATTCCGTCAAAAATTCCTCTCTCTGGAAAGAGCCCACATTTTCATGGGCAAAATGTGAACTTAACTTGCTCTGGGTAAAATAAATGATCTATTCACCCTCTCCCTTCTCTAAGTCTGAGAACATGACTCTTTGTTGTGGATCACAAGACCAAACTAAATAAACAAGGTATTGGGCAATCTGACTTACTGAATAATGCACTCGGTGAATTATAATACGTGTGGTTCAGAAAACAGGAAGATCAGATTTGGAAACGTTTTGTCATATTTTAACAATTCCGAGTAATAATAATAATAATCCTTGCATTTGCTATAGCGCCTTATCACGTCTTCTAGACGTCCCAAAGCTCTTCACCTAATACACTGTGAAGTGAATAGGATTGTATATTTTGTGGGCGAACCGCGGCATCCAATTGCGCACAGCAGTGTCCCACAAACAGTCATGGATTGAGGGACCAAATTATTATCATTAGTTTTTTTTTAACTCCAGGTTTGATATGAAAATGTTCCATCACTTGCCTTCACAGAAAATGGTTGTCCAAAATCCACCCGGACACAGCCGAAGTTTTTGCGAAGCATTCGGACGACTCCTTGCAAGGCTCCCCAGAGGCTCTCTTTCTTTTTGGGTTTCCCCTAGAAAACAGCATGTTGCAACATTACTGCACTCAGCTCGGGGCTGGGTGAAATGGATTAAAACACAATTTCCGCTCGCTCCATCACAAGCAGTCATTCTATAGCAATTATGGTGATAATGGGTAATACTAATCCTCCTTGCACTTGATATAGCGCCTAATCAAATCGTCGAGATGACTCGAAGCGCTTCACAGACGATACTGTAAAGCAAAGTGGATTTAGTGGGTGAAACGCAGCAGCCAATTGCGCACAGCAGTGTCCCACAAACAGCCGTGGATTGAGTGACCAATTTTTGTTTTTGCTTTGCCTTTTGGAGGGATTATTACCCCTGGAAAGCAATCCACCAATCGGCTAACAACCGGGTTCCTATTTACTGCTCGGTAAACAGGCGTGTGGAGTAAGGAAACTTGTGTGTGGTGTAAGATACGTCTCCCCAAGTGATAATGTACCACTCACTGTCGGCAATCGCTTGGTCAAGAGATACTTAACAGCAATAATCACAGAACCTTGATCTACATGTCGGGGGTGATGAACTTAACTGTGAATGGAATGTTGTGGCTTTGTGGCATTTTATTTGATCTACGGGCGATAAGGATAGTGATTTCCTGTTGAATCATGGTGTGCAGGCATGGAGGGAAGGAAGGTTTGTGTAGTAAAAGCTCACAGGTGCAATGGGCTGCCTTGAAAACAAATGCAATGAAATAGCTGGGGATGGAGACAGGAATGTTCCTGACAAGGACAAAGAGAGTACAGTGAAATTCGGTGAATTGAGTATCGGATAATTGAATATTTCACTAGTTTATTAAATAGAATTCAGAGCTCCAGTAGGCGAGTCTCCTATTATAGTCCAGTCCGTCCGCTTGCACAGATAGTTTGCAGCTTATTGAATCATTTTCACTGTCAAATTGAACATTCAATGAATAGAATTTCACTGTGTGAAACTAAGAATGAGATCGGAGCAGCCTGAATTTCAGCAGTGTCAGCCTCGAATAAATACCCGATCAGTCTTACAATGTTTTGAGATCCACTGAGTAGAGCTCTGTTTGTTGCTGGCACCCGCTTGAAGGAGGAGGGGTGACAGACAGAGCAAGCACTGCAATGCAGCACAAGATAAAGACAAACTTGACACCAATATTCCTCTCTACGCTATCCTGTTGTTAACCAAATGCTTCAGGAGAGATAACACTATTTAACAGCAGCTCGCATTTATACATCACCTTTCACATAGAGTAGTGTCCCAAAGCGCTTCACAGAGCAGGGAGATTGGGGGTGTGGGGGGTTGGGGGGGAAACTGGCTCAAAGAGGTAGTTGTTGTGGCCGCTTTCAACAACAGCAACAACAACTTGCATTTATACATCAGCCCTCATGCAGGGTAGCGTCCCAGGTTTTCAAGTGCGACCTGGAGTTAGGGATGGAAGGGGCAGGGCGGAGGGATAGAGAACATTCCAGAGTTTTAAAGACAGATGTGGGGGAGGGGGGGGTTGAAGGATTTAGGGAAAGAGTTCCAGAGTGAAGATTGTTTGGGGGGAGGGAGCAGCTGGATGCCTGATACATGTGGAAACCCATCCATGAAGCCAACTCCATCTCCAGAGAGCTGTCATTATAAGCTGTCTCCCTCCCTGCAGCCACGTTCCCTTCTGGCCACAAATTCACCAGACACTTGGCTCTGGATTTGCCAAATGGTGCAACGGAAACCCTTCTGTTGTGTGCCCTTGGGCTCAGAACAATGAAGGAAAACTGCGTGCCCACATGTCTTATGTATTACGAGGTTCATTAAATTACCTTCTGAGTGGCCCAGTACATATCAACTTGTATTTATATTGCACTCCTCACGCAGGGTAGGGTCCCAGAGTGCTTCTACACAAAGCTGAAAGCACTGTACAAGATTAATTGGGGAGTCCGCCAATAGCACATCATCTGCCAGCAGAAATGCTTCAATTATATCGAAAACCATCCAATATATCACTGAGTGAATATATTGAACAGGGAGGATGACAGTGGATGACCTTGCTTTAATCCAACCCCCCACCCTCTTCCTTTTGGGTGTCCGCAGCAGGGTTCCAACGTATCTGATAAATGTGCCATGACTCACCACCAAAGCACCACCTTTAAGAGCTAGAAAATCAGTGGGGCCGCGGGTATATTGTCTCCCGTCTTTTACAGCATTTAAAATCTGGTTTCGGTACGATGGCAACACGAGAAAACATTGAGAGAAGGCGAATGGACTTTTTAAATACAGTCAAAAGAGAAAGCACTGAAACGTTACCCACCAGCTGCTCGCTGTTATAATTGCCTTCAATGATTCGGTCATACGAGATGCCCACTGGAATAACCATGATGTCAGACACAGCATTTGCATAGAGGCTGTCCACCACAATCGACAGGAGGCCAGTCCTGGGGGCGTAGGGTTTACCACTGCGAGAACGTGTGCCTTCCACAAATATCTCCAGGAACTGGTGTTGACGAAGAAGCTCCTCGATATACTGCCAAAAGATAAACGGGAATTAATACTTTGCGCAAATGGCTGCCGCGTTTTGCCCACAAAATACAGAGTCAATTCACTTTACGGTATATTCTGTGAAGTGCTTTGAGACGTCTCAAAGACGTGATCAAGCACTATATCAAATGCAAGGATTATTATTATATTAATACAGTAATAACCTAACTGTAATCACCACACTCGACCAAGTGCTTTCCATTCAACAATAGATCAGCAAACTCCCTGATGACTCGTACAACAACAACAACAGACATTTGTATAGCGCCTTTCACTTGGAGAGGACGTCCAAGTGAAAGGCGTTATACAAATGTCTTGGACAGTTTATTACGGAGGACAGAAGGAAAACCGATTCATCTGCTTATAAAATGCAGATTTCACGTCCATGTACAAATCAGGGGTGCAGCAGGTTTTCAATGCTGGGTTATGCCAAGTTTATCAAAATTTCTACATATGAACGCCACCTACACATAGGAATTCCCGTTTGTCTGTGATGGACTGAGATGCACACTCTCTCTCACTTCCCAGAGGAACATACTGTGCTTATCTAGTTCGGAAATTACTAGGTGTAGGTTATTGTGAGTCAAAGCTGGAGGACTCCAGATTAAATCTTTTAGTACCTGCTGAAGTTTAAGCAGCTTGAACCTCAGCGCTTGCCATTGAGACCACTGACTGGCAAGCTTCCTGCTGCTCGTCCAGCTAGCACCACCTTACCCTTTAGAGCTTTGGTTTGCAGGGTCCTTGCCCCCCCCACCCCCCAATGAGGATCGATTCTGCTGTAAAACTGTGGCAAACGCGTGATGGTAAGTCAGTCTTCGGGGTACATTTGACATCTCTAAACCGTCTCCGTAAAAACCTACCACACGCAGGACGGATCTGTACAGTACATCTTTCTGTCCATCTTCGCTGACATCCAACTTTCGACGGATGAAGAAGCCACCCAGCTTCCGTATCAGCGTGCTGTGAAACAAAGCGTCTCAAATATATCAGCATGCACGAACAATTTGCTTTTATATAGCGCCTCTCATGCAGGGCAGCGTCCCAGAGCGCTTGATAGTGGCAGAGCACGACCCCGAGCCGGGGGAAGGGGAGGTGACCGTAGGCACGGTCGAATAGGAAGGTCTTCAGGCACGATCTGAAGATGGGGAAGGAAGGGACAAGGGGGAGGCATAGAGGAAGGGTGTTCCAGAGTTTCGGGACATATTGGTTGAAAGTTCACAGATGAAGTACATTACCTGGCAAATATTATGGTTAATTAAATACTTAGAGAAATGCAATACTGAAAAACCTTTCTCAGTTGTCAACCCTATATAGCCTCATCTCTCATGATGTACAGTTTTGAGCGATGTCTTCCCATGAATGTCAGAGCTGATTCTAATGATGGCTCTTTGCCTGCAATTATAATTTGCAACCCTCTATTTTAAAACTGATTACGAATCGGTCTAATGTGGGGGCTCAGCTGGTCACCTCACACCTGCTTACTTCGCCCTCTGCACAAAAAGCAGCCTTGGTACCTAATAACCACTGAGGATTTGCATTTTGTTTTGTGCTCGTCAAAATGAGGAACGTAAGTGCTTGGCAAAAGAAACACCCATTGTGTTTTTGTATCCAATATCAGCATCTGCAGTCCCAAGCCAATTGCAATCTGAGCCAGACACAAAGTAAAGTCACTTCCCTTTTGCCCTAAGATCGTGAAGTAATCTGAACCTCAGGCTAGCAGCCACACTATACAGTGTCACTTCCATTTCCCACAGAAATCACCCCCTCGTGGCCTTGTCTGAATGAGACAGAACAATTCAGCACCAACTTGGCCAGGAGATCACAGGCAATTTCTTACTCCAGCTCCCGTGTGCCCGACACAAACTGAACACACCCTCTATAGAGCCCTCACAGCCAGCAGAGTGAGGAGACTGATCCCATGGCAAACGAACCAGAGGGGAGATGAGGAGAATTTTTTTTATTACAGTGAATTGTTACGGTTTGGAACGCTCTGCCTGAAAGGCTGGTGGAAACAGATTCAATAACAACTTTCAAAAGGGAATTGGATAGATACTTGAAAAGCAAACATTTGCAGGGGTATGGGGAAATAGTGGGACTAATTGGGTAGCTCTTCCAAAGAGTCGGCACAGGCACGATGGGCTGAATGGCCTCCTTCTGTGCAGTAATATTCTATGATTCGATCAGTCTGGGCTGCATTTCAAACACGGGTTCCAGAGTTGAAACCGTCAGTGTGTTGTACCAATGGGTCTCTGAATCTCTTGGATTATATTGTACATTAAATACCTTTAGTATATTCAGAGGCACTAGGACATTTGTTGCGAACCATGGCAACATTTGCTGGCCCGTTTGATTTTTTTAATACAAGAATGAGCAAAGTCAAATTAAAGCCCCATCGGAAAGAGAAAATGACATGAAATAGTTTAACGAGCAATCACGATGCCAAGGGAATACAGTCAGGCAAATCAGAAGGTGCAAATACCCTACCTAGACTTCCCATTAATCCTGTGCTTAATACTGATGAAATATTTAGATGCGCAAAATCAATAGCTTTGTTGTTCCTAACAAGCTTATTTTCAGTAGCGCACAGAACTATGTGTGTGTGTGTGTGTGTGTGTGAGAGAGATAGTATTTTGCACTCACCTGAAAATGGGGAGATTCAGGTTATTTCCAGCTGCGATGTGCGGTGCTTTGATGTTATGACAGAAGAGAATGAAAGTGAGCAGCAGGTAGTCGATGTGTGATTTGTGTACAGGTAGAAAGACCAGTGGAGCATTCTGCGAAGAGAGAGAGGGAGGGATGCAAAGTCAATAGCAGCAGAAATAACTGAATCAGGAGAAACTGCCATAATACAAACTCACAAATAAGACCAAACATTGTCATATAATAATCCTTGTATTTGATATAGCTCCTTATAAAGTCTTTGAGACGTCTCAAAGCGCTTCACAGAATACACTGTAAAGTGAATTGACTGTGTAATTTGCGGGCGAAAAGATTCATAAATCCAAAATACACTAAACTATTCAATAATAATCCTCGCATTTGATATAGGGCCTTATCATGTCGTTGAGACGTCTCAAAGCGCTTCACAGAATGTACTGTGAAGAGAATTGACTATTATTTAAAACAATTTTTTCCTTGCATTGCTCACTTTTTTTCCATTACTTCTACTTAAAAAAGGGGACAACAAATTGGATCCAAATATAACAATTTGGTTACATCTATACTGTATAGGCCACTCATCATTTTTTTCCCTCAATGTGAAATTATAATAATATAATCATAATCCTTGTATTTGATATAGCACCTTATTGCGTCTTCGAGACATATCAAAGTGCTTCACAGGATACACTTTAAAGTGAATCGACTGGATATTTTGTGGGCGAAACGCGGCAGCCAATTGCGCACAGCAGTTTCCTACAAACAGTCGTGGATTGATTACATTTAAAAGTAAGAAGTGTTGCACAGCAACAGAGATTAGAAGAATGTTTCCGCCTCCCTCACAAAACAGTAACGAACAGAATCCCTATGAAACTTGGTGATGTTACGATGATTATTAGCTCCTAAACACACAGCAAGAATAACTACGTGAAAATATTGGAGGATACAAGTTACAGACAAGAGTTAAACAAATACTCCACAACAGTTACTGATGCTAAGACCATTGGGAGCAAAGTGCAATGTTGTCAGTGATGGGAATGAGGCCAGTGTTGGTTAGTGAAGATGTGGATGAATGCTCCGGAGTTTACCCTTGTATACCTTTGGAAATCAGGAAATATCCAGGCAGCATTTTCTGCCAGGAGGTAAGGCTGAGGGAGCTAGGTGTTTGTATGCCTGTGAAAGGGGCAAGCTTGAAGGGCCAAGCAGCCTATTCTCATTCCACATTTTCTTAAAAAGAATCATAGAATATTACAGCACAGAAGGAGGCCATTCAGCCCATCGTGCCTGTGCTGGCTCTTTGGAAGAGCGACCCAATTAGTCCCACTCCCCCGCTCTTTCTGTAGCCTTGCAAATTTGTACTTTTCAAGTATCTATCCAATTCCCTTTTGAAAGTCGTTATTGAATCTGCCTCTACCACCCTTTCAGGCAGTGCATCCCAGACCATTAACAGCTCTCGCTCTTACGATCTTACCTCACTGAGATGCTGGAAAGAATGAGTTAAAATTGGGAGACAGCCCTGACTATGGAAACCTTGCTAACTAGAAATAAATTAAAATTCACGAATATGATCACTCGTGCATGAAATATACGGCGCGCGTGATCCATCACTGCCAGAAAAACAGATCAGAAACTCCCTGGTGAACAAAGTAAATGCCTTGTACAAAGACAACAGCAAGCTCAAGGTTAATCTATTCTTGGGAGATTTCAGGTGACGTTTATAAACCGAAGCTGTGCTTATGACATTATCTGCACAAGTCAGGTTACAGCCCACCTCTCTAAATCATTCTCCGACACTCTCGTTTTCAGTCACCAATTAACAAACATCAATTCTGCATATCCTAACTGGCTGAGCGCATATCTCCCCGATTGTTGCTGTGTAAATAAATGGAAAATGTATTTAACAGGAGTGGGACAAAAATCATCTTCTCCAAATGAATCATTGAACATTTTGCGTTCTCCCACAGAGCGAGCACAAAGAGTTGCTGTAAAAGCTCTTTCGTTCTCTTAAAGCACCGCTCCACTGGGTGATGTTAACTGAGGTGGTTGCATTTCTTCTTTGTAGTTTCGCGAGACTTTCTTGGCTTACCTTTCGACATGCCGCTGTATCAATTCACAACAATGCAAGGACAATCCCATTTAAACAACAGACGATCTCAAGTCAAATGTCAAACCGTCTTCATCTCCACCCACAACCCCCACCCCTTCCACCATGACTCAGTCAGTAAAACTGCTCCCTAGAGGTGAAACTGAACCGTACACATCTAGAAAGTCCCAGGCTTGAACTGTGGGAAGCTGTCTGTTCTCAGCTGTTGTCAACAATTGGTAACATTATCCCTGGAATAAATTGTGGGGGGGGGGGTGAAAAATCAACCAGGTTTCCAGTTCTTGACCCAGCAATCCCTGATAGACGGTGCCTGTATGTGGGCATTGTGAGGGAACAGAATCGGGCTCGGCTGGGCTACAGTCTAGCCTTCACTTGTGTAGCCTTGCACGTGAATAATAATTATATTACTATTAACAATAACGATAATCCTTGCATTTGATAAAGCACCTCATCGTGCAGTCAAAATGTCTCAAAGTGCTTAACAGTATTTACTGTAAAGTTCAGTGACTGAATTTGTAGGCGAAGAAAGAATATTAAGTGAGAGAGATACCAGAGAGCTTGCAGCGCCCATAGATAGTAATCCTTGCATTCGATATAGCACCTCATCATGTCATGGAGTCCTTTAGTTCAGTGGTTAGAGCACTCGCCTTGCAAGCGAGACACCCGGGTTTAATTCCAGGCAGGGCGAAACCTTGGGTAAATTTCCTTACTCCACACGCCTAATAATAATCCCTCCAAAACCCAAAACAATAATAAATTGGTCATTTTCAATCCACGACTGTTTGTGGGACATTGCTGTGCGCAATTGGCAGCCGCGTTTCGCCCACAAATATACAGTCAATTCACTTTACAGTCTATTCTGTGAAGCGCTTTAAGAAAACGTGAAAAGTGCTATATCAAATGCAAGGATTATTATTGTTATTATTATTATCTCAAAGCGCTTCACAGAATATGCTATAAAATGGATTGATTGATTGAGTATTTTATGATCGAAAATGCACAATACACAATAGTATAATAAACCAGCCAGGTTCAGCATCTTTAGAAGAAGGAAGGGAAATCATTAGCCAGAAGAAAGTCTATTTTGGTCTCCAAATAACAGAGGTCATTGAATTAAATTCTATCCCTTTGAAACATACACATTAGACGCTTTGAGATGCTCGAAGACGTGATAAGGTGCTATAGAATTGCAAGGATTATTATTATTATCCCTCTCACTCGTGAGAAAGTCTAAGCTTCCCTAATGCTTATGACTTAGAAATGTCTGAAGCTTTTCAGATTATCACTGCACAGTATTTGGGTTAACCCAGTTTGCCATTCGTTCTGCCACACTCAAGCAACTGAAATAACATTGGTAGACCATTGTTATTATGATTACTTTTTATAACCAGTTGTGTAGCAGTAGTCAATTCTATACTATTGAAAAGTAATCTTAAACTAAGATTTATGGGATTGGTATTCATTGAGTGATGCCATGTGATTATATTTTTCAGATAATTGGCAAAAGAACCAGAGGGGAGATGAGAACTTTTAACGCAGAGAGTTGTTAAGATCTGGAATGCACTGCCTGAAAGGGTGTTGGAAGCAGATTTTATACTAACTTTCATAAGGGAATTGGATATAGATTTGAAACGGAAAAATTTACTAAAACACCAACAACACGATTGCATTTATAGAGCGCCTTTCACGTCGGGAGGACGTCCCAAGGTGCTGGACAGTCGGATCTGGCTAAGGCTATAGGGACATCTGCAACAGTGTCTGTGACACTGGGGAGAATGCGAGTCCAGTTTCATTTCCTGCCCAATGATGTTGACCTGAAAGTGCATAGGATAAATGTTGATTGTTTCTCTGTTAAATGAACGGCAAAAAGCCAGAGGAGACACCCACAAAGCTTCAGTTCTAGAGCTCCTGAGGCACTTAGTATATTGTTATCTCATAAATATTAATCTTCATCCGCACCCCCAAAATAAAAGTTTAACTCTCATTTCAGGAACCATAGACTTTCAATGCCACTACAATTCAGACATTATCTAATCTCTGCTCCTTACCTCGGTTAAAATATTGATCCCTTTTTCTCCCATCAGGCGTCCATTCATTTGCTGACACCTTCCTTATCAATCATTGATCAAATTGATCTAAAGCAGAGAGCAGATGAACCCTTTGCTTCCCACTCCTTACCTTAACCCAGCTGTTCGCCTGCATGTACACAATCATTACAACGACTAAAACTCTCTGAAGCGCATTCATCAACACATCCTCCTCTGAGCTGGACTGGCTTCCAGCTGACATGCCTTGCAATGGAACGTCGGCGTCGAGCCAGTCCTCTGTGGCGGTCTCAGTCGTGGTCTCTAATCCGGTTCCTGAGCCAGGCGGGTCCACAGTATTCCAGGGCATTGCTGATGACTGCACAGCCCGGCCTGGCTCATCGGCAGGACTCTGACGGGCAGATCAGTCACTGGGGGCAGGGAGTCATCCCACTCAGCTCCTGTTAACACTGCACATTCCATTCCAACAATCAAGTCTCTGGGATTTCCATGTGTAGGTGGAAATCTCAGCTTGGTTTAGGTACTCTTAAACATGGGAATGGGTTTCAGCATGTATCAGACACACGGCTGACCACAAAAAAATACATAAGGCGCTAAATCAAATACAAGGATTATATATTTTTTAAATTCCTAATCATAAACAGGCAATACCTAACCCATTTGCGTCCGTAACATTAACACGGCCAATCCTGACATTAACCTGCCTGTGTGGCTTACCTCGGAAGCAGCTTTCTTCACCATTTCCAGTTGCCCTTTGTGTATCTGAATGCTCCAAAAGAAACCATTGAACAGCTTAAGCAGCACCCAACCCGTCAGCCTGAGAACACAAAATGAAAGCTATAATAATCCTTGCATTTGATATAGTAATTTGGTCACCCAATCCACGACCGTGGGACACTGCCGTGCGCAAATGGCTGCCGCATTTCGCCAACAAAATACGTAGTCATTATACTTTACAGTGACCAAATTATTATTATTTTTTTTAAGGGATTATTACTCCCGCAAAAGCGATCTGCCAATCGACTAACTACTTACTGCTAGATAAACAGGGCGTGGTGCAAGGAAACTTGCCCTTCCCGGGAATCGAACCCAGGTTCTCTCGCTTGTGAGCCGAGTGCGCCAACCACTAAGCTACAGGACTCTACAGGTAGAAAGGTAAGTAAGAGACTAGAGACTATCTCCCCCTTCGGTAGACTTATTTTTTTTATTGCAGGGAAGATGGAATACAACCTATACAGAAAGTGCCACAAAGTACCTTTGACGTGCGGGTTTTGTCAAATCTTGAGCAACTCTCAGCAAGTTAGCTATTGATCTATTTGCTTTCTCTCAGGGAAAGCACAAACAGTGAACAATCTGATTGGGGCTAGCTTCTCCCTCCAGTCTCTAGTTCCCGTCATATGTTTGGACTGCATTGTATTTTTGTACAATTAGCTCCATTTGTAATCAGTGCGACCTTGGCTTTATCGAGTGAAGTTTCAGAGGAGAAACCGTGGTTACGGTTAAAGAGAAATAAAACAACCCATCAGTGACGCAAATTTCATTAGCAGCAACAAGATGAGGGGCCAAGACTTGATACTGACTGAAAGTGGCCTTGATCCCTGTTGGGCCTTGGGACGTCCTCAGACAGCGTCAAAGAGCGAGACCTGAGTTTCTATAGGGATAATTTTCCGTTCTTCTCTCTCTTTTCTCCCTTCCCTCAGTGGAGAGGGGCAAAAGGAATAATACAATAACAAACTACAGATCAAAGGAAAATACCAGAGTCATCCAATGGACAAAGCAGAGAACACTTTGTTCGACCACTTTGTGTCTATTTGGTGGCTCATTCGTACAATGTTCCTGAAACTCTACAATCTAATCCTAACTATAGCTGAAATTTGGATACAGAAGTCTGTGGTGTGAATCATTACCGGATTATGGCTGGCGAGATGTTGGACACCATTTGCTGAAGGACTCCCCGAGCTTTTCGTTTCTCTTTACACAAAGCTTTCGAGTCGGGCTGCACAATGCATTCCACAGGCATCCTTTGAACCACCGTCTCCACAATGGCCTTCTGCACTCTGGTCAACAGATTCAGAAACGTAATGAATAAACATGCAGATAATTAATTCATTCATTCATCAACATACCTTGGCTTCAATAAAATATTGTGGGAATAAGCTTCAAATGTTTCGGACAAATTATTAAATACAATGAGATGTTACTTTAAGGAACCACAGGATATAGATCCTCGGTGTCAGCCTGCGTCAAATTGGTCGTCTCTCAATCAGAAGGTTGTGGATTCAAGCCCCAGGTCGGGAATTTGAGAACACAATCATGGCTGACACTGGGAGTCCGCCTCATTGTCAGAGGAGCTGAGCTTCGAATGAGATGCTAAACCAAGGTCCTTGCTCAGGTTAAAGATCCCATTGGTACTACTCGAAAAGAGATAATAATATCTCAGAATTTTTTTAAAAATTGGTCATTCAATTCATTGCTGTGCAACAAAATGGCTGCCGTGTTTGCTTACGAAATACAAAGTCAGTACCTATTACAGTAAATCCTGTGAAGAGCTTCAGATGTCTTGACGACATGATAAACCATTACATCAAATGCATTATTAACGGGATTATTGAAACGCCGCAAAAGTATGAGAAGTGTTGCTGTACCTGGTGTTATTTAAAACATTTTCAATCACGTTCCTTGGAAACATATCACGATGTACATCGCGGTCTTGAACAAATAGCACATAGCAGAGACGCCGTGCCAGCCACCCTCGGTACCTAGTGAGCAAATTCAGACACTGTAAATATCCCAAATCAGCACTTCAATGTACCAGAGCTCTGCGTCCATCCGTTTCCACTTTGAGCCCAACCCAAATGTTTCATTTTCTGCCTCAAAGAATTATAATTTTTTCTAAAGAGAAAAATAAGCATTAGCTGCCCGCATTCCTTTTTAAATCATTTGCCTCTTTTAACAAAGAACTCCCCCACCACCCGCCCTCCACCCCCACCCCACAAACACACCCTGTCCAGATGTCCAGTTTATCCAGTCAATATCTGAGCAAAGTAGAGCAAGAAGTTGCCAGGTTTAAGTCCTGATGGTGTCCTGAGCGAGTTGATCTCAGTCAAGGAAGCACTATTGCTACCAATGAAAATCAACCAGCTTTCCGCTCCTGAAAGAGGGAGCGTGTTCGAGTGTAGGGACATAACAAGGCTCAGCTATGATCTACTCCAACCAAAACACAGTCAGTTCTCACACACAGAAATGGCATTATCAGTGGATATCCAGCTCCTGTAGAACCATAACCCCTCCCCCAGCATAAGTCAAAGACCTTGAGGGGTGGGGTGGGTGGGGGAAGATTTGCTCTACAAAACCATATCAGGTAATTGAAGTACAAATTGTGTACAAAGCTTATTTTAAATTCCTTCCGCGAACCAAAAATATACAATTTTCTTCAGTTTGCCGACATGTTCTATGCCCAACAGCCTCTATAACAACAATATTCGCCAACTAGATTTGCTGTGTTGTGACATTAGGTCTGAAAAAAGGTGACCGAGCCAACACCTCTCAGTACTTCAGGTCACAGTTTATCGTACTCAACCCAGCTCGCTGCACAAGCTGTTACAAATTACCTGGATGTGCATTAAAAAGGGGCACAGAACCATTTTCATATCGCCTCACACATCAAAAGTAAACCCAGTAAATCACAATGGCTATATTACTTACAAAGTTTTTCACAGAAGGCATTGTGTTAATATTGAAGTCAGTCTCCATTCAGCACATTCTTACATAAACTTCGGAAAGCTTGATCCAACAAATTTTGAAATTGGAACACATTATTTTGCCGAGAAGTCACCAGTAACAGTCTCCTGATCAGCTGTAAGTGCTTGGATTATAAGATGGTTTTGATATCATTTTGTTGATTAAATAAAAAAAACTAACTTGACATTGTGCATTTCTTTCTCTGTCATAAATTCATCATACCTGGTGTGAGTTTCATTGATATAGATCACATTCCGCAGACCCAAGGAAGGGATACTAGCATTGAAGAACTTTTCCTAGTATGAGGAAAGAAAGATATTGAAGTCAGTTTTCTGCATGACAGAGGGTGTTTGTTCAAGCGCAAGAACATCTTCTGTACATTTCTGCTTCTAAACTCTTCTGGATTCTTTCTTCCCACCCTTGCAGAACTGTCAATGTCTCGCCCACAAAGTACACAGTCACTACACTTTACAGTATATCCTGTGAAACAATTTGAGACGTCTCAACAACATGATAAGACGCTATATCAGATCCAAAGATTATTGTTATTATTGTCGTCGACAAGAATGCTAGGAGCAATTCTCCGAAGGTCAGTAAATGTGCAGTCTTTGGCATTAGGAAATCTCATTTCTAACCTCATGTCACTGAGAAGGGTCAACTTATAAACCAGCAAAATGTTTTCACCCAAAGCTAAGAAGTTTGACCCAATTGTGTAGCTTTGCATGAAAAAAACTAACTCATTACATCAGCAGGATTAAGTCTCACAAATGTCCAGCTTTGTTCTTATGAAATCAATTGAGCACCGCCATTAAACGAAGGAATCAAATTTAGAAACACAGAAACAGGAGGAGGCCATTCAGCCCCTCAAGCCTGTTCCGCCATTCTATAAGATCATGGCTGATCTGTACTTCAACTCCAATTACCTGCCCTTGCTCAGTATCCCTTGATAGCCTATCCTAACAAATATGTATCCACCTCAGTTTCGAAAATGTGAATCAAATTTATCAATAACTTCAGTACTTAAGTATTATAAAGCACAATTAGTATGGTCAGATAATCTTAATATTGACTATCTCTCCTCCCTCATGCCTTCTGTCCTGCTATAATCTTTTATTTCTCTTCTACTTAGTGTCTTTGATTGTTGCAATCTTTTACTTTCGATTGTTTTATTGACGTATTGTATTGCAGTGCCTTGTTTTAGTTACCCTGCTCAATGGAGAACACACGTGGCAACATCTTCCCACAAACGGACGCTTTCTGCTCAGTAACGACTCCCGCCCGATGGCAGCAGCAGATCGAAACACGGCCAAACTCCGGCAGTTCTCCACCTGGAAGAGATCACAACAGCACAGGAGGCGTGAGCGAGCACTGGCCAGAATTAGATCGCAAACTGAAACAGCCTTTAGGGCTTCGAAGTGAAATCGCGACAAAAGAAAAAGCTGGTGAGACTCTGGCATTTACCCCAAACCCTGGCTCTTGCCAACCCGCATCTATTACTCTCCGGAATTAGGTGAGCAGGAGGCGACCCTCCAGGGAGAGAGAGAGCGCATTCCATTCCAACAATTTATCTGGGATGTCCATGTGTAGGTGGGATGCAGGGAATTCTCAGGTTGGTTTGGAGACTCTTTAAGCACGTGATGGGTTTCCGCATGTGTCAGACACCAGTCTGATCAAAAACCAAAACCTTTCTGCACGTTGTTTAGCTGATCTGGTTACTTTTCTTTAACGCTTATGTATGATTGAACAAAGGGTGCTTTTTTCATCCAAAGAGGCTTAGTCGTAAGTTGGTCAGAGGGAGCAGGGTCATTGCTTTTGCAGTATAACTTGTTATAAAACTGGCAACAAACAACAATCTGTATTCAGAGTACTGCATCAGAGTAGAACAAAGAATGTTTGTGAGTTACGACCGATGTCAAAAAGGTGCCAGCATGCAACAATGTTAAAATCAGCGTCTGCAAACACTGCACGCTCAATCTGGAATCCGTTAGCGTAGTGGTTAGCGTGGTCGACTCGCAAGTGAGAGGACCTTGGTTCGATTCCCAGTCAGGGCGAAACCTTAGGCAAGTTTCCTTAATCCACACGCCTCTCTTTACCCACCATTAAGTAGGAATCTGGCTGTTAGTCAATTGGCTTTCCGGGGGTAATAATTCCCCCAAAAAGAAAATTGGTCACTCAAACCACAACTGTTTAATGGGACTTTGCTGTGCACAGTTGATTGCTGAGTTTTGTCCACAAAATACACATTTAATTCACTTTACAATATATTGTGTGAAGCGCTTTGAGACCTCTCAACGATGTCATAAGGCGCTATATCAAATGGAAGGATTATTATCATTTCATATTATTTACACAGAATGTTTTCTATCCAAAGATAATCCTCAAATGTTTACTTAAACTCTACATTACAGTTTATGCTTTGTGTCAATATTTCTGTATGTCATGTTTCACTTGCGTAAATTTAAGACAATGACCAAATGATTAAAGCGGAAAATAGAAAAAACAATCTTCACACACAAAAGTGGAAATCTCAATCACAAATCTCTTATTCAGGCAGAGTTAATTTTATTTCCGAAATTGGAATTCGATAGATTTTTTCCAACAGAGTAATATTAAAAATAATTCATACATACAGACACACACACACACACACACACAAACAATTTGGTCACTCAACCCACACCCGTTTGTGGGCAATTAGCTGCCGCGTTTCGCCTACAAAATACAGTCTATTCACTTTACAGTCTATTCTGTGAAGCGCTTTGAGACGTCTCGAAGACGTGATAAGGCGATATATCAAACGCAATAATTATTATTATTATTAAAATGTAATGGGATTTTACGCACATGTAATGGAACATGTGTTTCGATCAAGTGGGCCATGTGGCGAAAAGAGAGGTGCGCAGACTCATTGGAGCAAATGGCATGTTTTGTATCCTCCGATTTTAAGCTGGGAAAACAAAGTTACGCCTAAATCTGACAAGATTGATTTCAGCTTTGCCTTGGCTCACCAGTTCATCACCGCTGTGCTTTCCTCCGTTGCCATGCTGTTCTCTGGAGTTGGATAAATAAACACCCTCCCCTGCGGTTGTCAGTGCCGGCTCCGTCATGCCTCCTCAGACCGCGGACACGCACAAGCTCTGCGAATCGAGACAAAGCAAAATGAAATACAAAGCAACGTCTGGGGATTGAAACAAAGGGAAAAAAAACACCGCAAAATATTATTAAAATAATTTCTTGTGGACTTTAGAGCAATTTAGTTCCTTCATTTATTTCACCAGGAAGAGGACTCCAGTGGACTCTTTAGCAGTGGTTTGTGAACTGTGCCACAGCAAAGAATGTACGAGGCACCACAATGGTGCATGTCAGCGATTACAATATTTCAGACAACAATACAGTGGGATACTGGAGGAAGAGATTTACATAGAAATTTGGAAGGAAGCGAATTCAGAAACACAGAAACAGGAGTAGCCCATTCAGCCCCTCGAGCCTGTTCTGACATTGAATAAGATCAAGGCTGATCTGTACCTCGACTCCAATTACCCGCCCTTGCCCCGTATCCCTTGATACCCTGAGCTAACAAATAGCTATCCACCTCAGTCTTGAAAACTTGAATGGATCAGCATCCACAGCCTTTTGGGGAGAGAGTTCCAGATTTCCACTCCCCTTTGGGTGAAAAACTGCCTCCTGATTTCACTCCTAAGTGGCCTGGCTCTAATTTTAAGATGATGCCCCCTCGTTCTGGATTCTCCCATCCACCAGAGGAAATATCCTATCTAATCCCTTTATTATTTTTCAAAAAAACACTTCACTTTCAGCATTGTACATTTCATTGTCACTATAAGAAAACGCCAGTTATGTAGGATGTGCATGCAATCCAATATCGTGGCAACAGCACAACAGAATCGGTAACCCTGGGTGATTTAACCAGTATGCACAAACCGAAAGCCAATTCTCAACACGTTTGTTTCCCCACTTGGTATGTGAAACTGTACTTAACAAGAGTGAAATCTGGTGACGGGGTAGAAATCAATATGAAAATTGGCTGCCGCATTTCACCCAGTCAATTCACTTTACAGTATACAGAGTGAAGCGCTTTGAGACATCTCAACCACGTGAAAAGGCACTATATCAATTATTATTGTGACAAATCTTTCCCAAACTATCAGGACGATGATCAGCGCAAACAGCTTAAAAGGAAGATCATATCAGAGCTTCTTATCACCAAAGCAAAGATACTTGAAGCTGCTAAGTTTTCCCTCCCTTGGCTAAGAACAGGATCAGCAAGTTTATCGGGTTTGTGCAGCATTGCTGAACGACAACTTTTATTTTAGGCTAAAAAAAACTTTTCTTGAATTTTATTTGAATAAATATTGTATAAATGTATTGTATTTAATCATATTCTTCCCATTTCAGCTTTACAACTTGACAAATCGATAACCATGTAATTTTATTAATTAATTTTAATTTGACTTTACAACCCTATAAATAAAAAAAGTAGTAATGATGCTTGCAATTGATTATATACATTTTATATAGCACACTCGCCTTGCAAGCCAGAGGACCTGAGTTCGATTCCCGGACGGGGAGACACCTCAGGCAAGTTTCCTTACAACAACAACAACAACTTGGATTTATATATCACCTTCCATGCCGGACGGCGTCTCAGAGCGCTTCACAGTAACGGATCCCGGGGCCGAACCAGGGGGAGGGGAGGAAGGTGACCAAAGGTGAGATTGAAAAGAAAGGTCTTCAGCCAAGACCTGAAAGTGGGAAGAGAGGGGGCGAGGCGAAGGGAGTGAGGAAAGGAGTTCCAGAGCCTCGGGGCGTAGTGGTTGACGGCACGGAGCGAAGGATAAGGAGGAGGCCAGACCCGGTGGAGTGTGTTACTCCACACACAGGCCTCTGTTTACCTAGCAGTAAGTAGGCACCCGGTTGTCAGTCGATTGGCGGATCGCTTAAAAAAAAATAATTTGGTCACTCAATCAGCGACTGTTTGTGCGATGCTGCTGTGCACAATTGGCTGCTGCGTTTCTCCCACAAAATACACAGTCAATTCACTTTACAGCATATTCTGTGAAGCGCCTTTGAGACGTCCCGATGACGTGATAAGGTGCTGTATCAAATGCAAGGATTATTATTACACGATATATTATATACAGCGCCTCATTGAATCATTGAAACTGCTCAAAGTACTGCATAAGATTTGCTCTGAAGTGTAGGAACTGTGTATTTGTTTGGAGTTACAATGCCAAATAAAATCGCATTCCAACTGCCCTGCTATTCGTTCTACCTCGACCTCTACTCATCTCAAGCTAAGCAGGAGGCGTCCCTCCAGGGAGCGAGAGCGCGCGGATTCCATTCCAACAACCTCTCTCTGGGATTTCCACGTGTAGGTGGGATGCATGGAGCTCTCAGCTGGGTTTGGATACCCTTAAGCAACGGTGGTGGGTTTCCTCGTGTGTCATGCGCGCATCCGGTTGACCCCAACCCACACAAAAAAAAATCACGTTCTGTTCTTTGCTTAAATGAATGACTCGAGGTTCTCTCTCGCGCCGTGGCTTAGTTAGTCGGTGTTCTCGCTCTTTAACTTTGTCCCTGCCCAAAAGCTCGCTGCTCGCCCCTCATTGAACCCATAACCTGTACAAAAAGATAAACGTTCAGTGGATCTTTGAACACATGCATACCTAAAACAGAGAACATTGCTCCCCCCGCCCCAGCCCCAGCCTCTCAGTAAATATCAAGATCAATATATTTGATTTGAAACGTGATTTCTGGCTTCTTCTGAGGTCTAAACTGCGGCTTTACACGCGCGCGCGCACTGGGAGGAAGTTGCAGAGAATTCAACTGTAGTCAAATTCTGACACATTGAACGTGTTACTCATTGCAGATTTGAAAGGTATTATATATATATTATATGTATAATAAACTAAACACAATCCAGTCAGCCATGCAACATGGCAACTTTGCAACAAGCAAAACAAAGCAACAAGAGGCTGCAGGTTTCATTTCTTCGCTCTCCCCGCTTACCAAAGAATCGCACAGAAAAGGATACTTGGCAGGTTTAATTTCACACTGCGGTGTTGTACTCGACAGGGCTTGAAAAACTGGGAACCTCAAAAAAATCATAGAATGGAATGCTGCAAACTGTCTATTGGCGGTTCGTCAAACCTGCGCTGGGAGTTTCTCTTCATCAATCTAACCATTCGTGTTACCTGCTAATACAGCATTCCTGTTTTTCAAGTATCTTTATCAATCCCTTTTCAACAAATCTATGGACTCTTGCTCAACCCTGCTTTGTGGTTTCATCCACCCTCGAGTATAGAAAGGTTTCAAACCTCCCCTTTTAATTCGCTTTGTGATAATTCTAGATGTGCGTCCTCTCATGACAAATGTTCTGAAACTGTTCCCTCTGTCCCACCGTCAGATTCAGGACCGCCTTAGGCTCACGGAACTTGTCCGTAGACTGGGCTACGACAGTGCTGTAGAATAGTTGTGTAGCCGTGTGAGTCTTTGGAAGGCTTGAAAATAAAATTATCCTGGATATGAGACGGCTGTTATAAACCAAACCATTGTAGTCTGTTCCTCATTCAGTTGGCGGATAGCAATATCAATGGCAAGCTGTGTGGTTTCAGCTGGTTAGACTCCAGCAGTTACTCCAACCTACACACTGGGTAGAGTTGGAGTAACTGCTTTGTTACTCCAACCTACCCAGTGTGTAAGCCTTGGCTCTCGCTAACCTGTGCCTAATAATTTCCGGAATTAGGTAAGCAGGATGTGTCCCTCCAGAAGCGAGTGCGGATTCATTCCAACAATCTATCTCTGGGATTTCCATATGTAGATGGGATACATGGAAATCGCAGCTTGATTTGGATACTCTTAACAACAAAAGCAACAACAAATGACATCTGTATAGCGCCTTTCATGTCAGGACATCCTAAGACACTGGACCCATCCTTAAGCATGGTGATGGGTTTCCGCACGTCACATGTTTTTCAGCTGTCCAAAAAAAAATGAGGGAAACACAAAATTACAAGCTTCCCAATGGCTCAAAGGGTGAATGCCTCACCTAATGAAAATTTGGATACTCTTTAGCATGACGATGGGTTTCCTCACGTGTCAAGGACACCTGACCGAGCAAACAAAATCACAGCTGGATGGTGCCTTTATCCACTAGGCCGTCGGCAGATGTATAAATCAAAACTGTGTATGAAAAAACTTTTCTTCACCAGCTATCTATCTTAGTACGTAATCATTGGTGAACGATCATTCTTGCCTTTATTGACTAACACTCTTTTAACACTGTGTGTTTAGCGATAAGAGGTTCGGGTGACCACCAAATGGAGTCATTTGAGTGGCTGGCACTGATGGCATGATTTTCTCGTTCCATAAAGCCATGTAGCTTCGTGGGAACTTTGCCAACATAATGTTTTTTCCCTGCTAACTGGTTATATTTGAACATGCTGCATCTGGTTACCTAGCAGTAAGTAGGAACCTGGTTGTTAGTCAATTGGCGGATCGCTTTTCCGGGGGGATAATAATCCCTTCAAAAAAGTAATAATAATTTGATCACTCAATCCATGACTGTTTGTGGGTCACTGCCGTGTGCTGTGTGGCTGCTGCATTTCACGCACAAAACACACAGTCAATTTGCTTTACAGTATTTTCTGTGAAGCGCTTTGAGACGTCTCGACGATGTGATAAGGCGCTATATCAAATGCAAGGATTATTATTATTACCCCTTATTATTATTAGCTGTTGTCCCTACTCCACAGCAGCAAAATAGGTGTGCTCAGTGTTACACATGTAAGCTTAGAGTATTAAAGATGAGGGCTTAGACCACAATATATTTAGGTACAATAGAAAGGCCAATATCAAATGCAAATGTAGATGTAGCACTACCACAATGACACACTCACCACTGAATGAGATGTGTTTGCACAAATTCTTTGTTAGCAGAAATAATCTCAACCTCAAAGCAAAAATTATGTCCTGTACATAAGCAAAAAAAGCCCTGTGCCTGGGGGTAAGTTACAGTCCCATTAACATTTACCTGCATATTGACAGCTTTTATGCAAGAAAAATAACATCTTACAAAGGAAAGTCACCTGTTGAGTACAACACACAATATGTA